CCAGTGCCACTCCCAGAACAGCACTCTGCCACCCCCTCCATGTGCAGGATGCACAGTGCACGCTCAGACACGCTCACAAACGCTCACACACGCTCACACAGCTGCTTGTGTACACGCTAACACGCACACACACGTGTGCTCACACGCATACAAGACCACAGGTGCACACACAGATGCTCACACACTGCTCACACACATACCGTGCCACACGTGTGCATGCACACGCTCACAGTTATGTCCCATGTATGAGACCATGCCTATGCACGTGCACACTACCATGCAGGCATGAATGCACTTGTGCTCACACATGTACATGCCTGCACACGTATCTTTCCACACGTGTGCATGCACACACACAATCGTGCCCCCGTGTATGAGACCATGCATGTGCAAATGCAGACACATTGCCATGCATGCATGAACACACATTTGTGTTTACACATGTACACGTTCACATGCACATGCACGCCCAAACACATACGTGGTCACACATGTGGATCAGGTATCCATACCTGAACATACTTAATGCACACAGGAACACACATGCACACACTCACGCAACACATATAATCACACACATGCACACACTCATGCTCATGTGTGTAAGATCACATGTGCACACACAGATGTACTCAGATGCACATATGTGCTCACACATGTCCATGATTGCATACTCTCTGGTTCACACACGGCTGCACACACACATGCATGTGCTTGCACAACACACACACACACACACACCCTCATAGGTGCCATCCTGCTTTCTCTCCTGCCCTGCTACGAGATGGGGAAACCGAGGCTCTGCCCTCATGCCCCCTGAGGCCAGCCTGCGCATCCCCAGCCTCGTCTGTGTGTCCCTCAGGCTTCGGGTCCTTCGTGGACAAGACGGTGCTGCCCTTTGTCAACACCCGAGAAGCTGAGGAACCCGTGCCCCAACAAGCAGAAGGAGTGCCAGGCCCCCTTTGCCTTCAGGCACGTGCTGAAGCTGACCAGCAACGCCGACCAGTTCCAGAGAGAGGTCGGGAAGCAGCTGATCTCCGGAAACCTGGACGCCCCCGAGGGCGGGCTGGACGCCATGATGCAGGTCGCCGCCTGCCCGGTAAGGCCACAGCCCCAGCACGAGTCTCCGAGATCCCCGACTTGGAGCCTCCGTGAAGTGGGGAACGCCTTAGGGACTGGAGCCGAGGGCCTGCGCCCCGCCCGCCACACCACGCCGCCAGCCTGGGCCTGGGGAGAGCAGCCCCCACCCAGGTCACCTCCCAGCCTCCTGGACGAGGGAGCGAGGGAGGGAGGATGGCAGCGGGGCCCGGGCATCACCCGCACTTTCGCCGTCAGCTCTGAATCACGTGCGTGACCAAGACGCATCCTCTGAAGCCTGAACACTACGCGGGTCGCAGCCCTGGTCCCGGGCATGTGCTGGTCACCCACGTCCCCGCCCACTGTCTGTGGACGGTGCTCACAACAGAACGGTCACAATCACGTGGGCCCGTGATCCAGGTCATGCACCGTCCTCACATTCACCCGTGGGCCCTGGGCGTGCTGGGTCACCGCGCAGATGCACACCATGCACACGCGTGTGAGGTCACGGTCTGAGACACGAGTTGCCCCCAAACACGCCTTCAAGGGGTCGTCCGTGCAGCCTCAGCTGCCCGCCCCGGTCCCCAGGTTCTTGCTTCTGGGACCACGGCGTCGGCCCAGCGTAGGGAGCGTTTCTGCACGGACTTGGTTTCTTCTTGGGGGTGACCTCCTAGGATTCGTTCCCAGGTCTGGATGCCGGCGCTGCAGAGGACACGGCCCTTCTCAGCCGCGAACACGCATCTCCGTTCTCCTCGCCGCGCGTGTTCACGGGCGTTTGGGAAGTGGCTGTCTCAGCGGACGCTCCTCAGGCTCCTCCTGGGCACTGGCCTCTGGCTGGACACGGGGACCCCAGAGGAGAGGCTGGCTGGGCTGGGTCCGCTCTCCCACCGTCTCCGCGGCTGCGCAGACCCAGGCCCGCCCGCCTCGGGGCTGCCCGCTGCTTCTGCCTCCTCTCCTCCCGGCTGTATGTGAGGGCACAGTGGGGAAACCGAGGCGGGTGACCCTTCCTCCTCCTCGCATTTTTCTCCTCAGGAGGAAATCGGCTGGCGCAACGTCACGCGGCTGCTGGTCTTTGCCACAGACGATGGCTTCCACTTTGCGGGTGACGGGAAGCTCGGTGCCATCCTGACCCCCAAC